CCAGCTCCTCCCAAGTCACTGCTGCCTGTCCTTGTGGAAATCACACCAAACTTGTACCTGGCTTCTTGCTGCCCCCTTTCCTCTCTGGGCTTCATGGAGGGGCCACCTGCTCCCGCTTCTGACCTGCCTTCCTTCTCTGCCAGCTGAGATGAAACCACATAAAGCCTCCTGCATTTTCTTCTTTATGAAACCGAATGAAGCGTTCAGAGGATTTTTACATTTGTGTAAGCATGAGGGTAAAATAAGGAACATGGCGAAGTTCCCCTGAGTCTTCCTTTTCTGCTGACCCAGTCGTTAGAACTCGAAGCAGAGCTCTGCCCTTATCTCTGTCACCTCCGTGCCACTCTAGACTTGTCATCCTTGTTCCACACAGCCCTGCCCCACTCCTCCATTTCTGGGGGACAGCTCTTCCTCTGAGCCCCCTACTGTATGTGTGACCCAGCCACACATACCAGAAAAGGTCGTTTCTATGCCCTAAAGAGCAAAGCAATATGCACAAATGGCCCTGTGTTCTCCCACCCGCAGAGGCCAGGCACCCACCTAATATCCCAATAACAAATATTTAAGCCCCCAGTCCCTGCTGGCCCCTGCTGGCTGGGTTAAGCCTGGGGTCCCCAAGGCATCTCCCCAATTTCCCCTCTCTGCTCTGGGCACCGCTTTGGGTGAGTGTCCCCAGCAACAGCTGAGACACAGGTATCACACTTGGCAGATGTCTCTCCAGGGCTGGGAATAGCAGAAGGAAGGCTCAGGGCAGACGCCACAAAGCCCAATGTGCCTGGGACTCTCTCCCTAGCAAGGCCCGCCCCCGCCCCCAGCCCACACGCTGTCATGGTGGCCAGCTCATCTCTTCCAGACCAGCGTGCACCCCAGCAAGTCCTCTGCCCACTGGGAGGCCAGGCCCAGCATGCAGGGAAACATCCGGGCACCCCCGAGAGACTCCTCCACTGAGACAGCAGCCGTGCGGGCAGATGGGCTCTTCTGGGAGTCAGACTCCTCCATTCCGAACCAGCACCTTGGCTTTAACTTTGCAGAAGAAACTAACTTGAAATGCTTTTGGGAAGGTCAGCAGGGCCAGATGGTGCAGGGTCTTGAAGACACATTACAGAGGGCATTGCCGAGCCACTGAGAGTCACTCCCCACCACTCCCCAAGCTCTTGACACATTGGCTGCCTTTCAATTCCTACAAAAGGTCGAGTTCTTCCCTGCATCCAGGTATTTCCAAGCGCTGGTTTGTCTGTGTGAAATGCTCTTGTCCTCACACCTCAGTCAGTGAACTTCCACTCATCCTTCAGAGGTTAACTGAAATGTCACTTCCTCAGACAGACAGTCCTTGACCCCTCCCACCTCCATCTAAATTACATTTGCCATTGTTTTTTCTCATAACCCTCCCTGCAACGTATCTGTTCAGTTGTCTGACGTTGCCCCTCCTTCTAGGCTCTCAGTTCCGTGGAGACAAGGCTGGGTCTGATTTAAAAGTCCACTTAGGTATCTGGGTGGAGCATTGGTTGAGGGTCCCAAGAGTGGACGCAGGGGAACGAGTTAGGAGGACACTGGGGGACCACACGTGAGAGGACAGCTGCTGGAACCAACATGGAGACAGCAGAGAAGCAGAGAAGTGAGTTCTTCTGACTTTAGGACTGGGGATGGAGGGAGCGGGGAGGTATCCAAGCAGAGAGGGAGAAAGACCCAGGAAGAAGGAACTTGCCATGGAGACTGGGGCTCTGCTCAGGGCCCCAGGAAATTAACTTGCTGTGACTAGGATGTAGCAACACTGAAGTGACCAACGCTGGCTGCGGCCCAGCTGCTAAGGAGGAGGTGGAGGAGAAAGCCCAGGCCAAGGAGAGCCCCACCCAGCAGAGCCTGGCCCTGTGGCCAGCAGGTCAGCAGGGCATTTTCTCAGCTGCACAGAAGTGAGTACAGCTTCTCGCTAGCAAATCCAGGGTCAGAGGTCCAATCTTGTTTACCTCTCCTTGTACTGTCTTGTACATTCCTACGTCAGCCTTTTGGGTGGCATTGATTGGGTGGCGGCTGCACCTGGGACTCCTTCCACTGCCAATCCTGACCCCACGGGGAGATTCTCACCTCACTGGCCCCACCTCCTCTTTCACAGGGTCACAGGGTCCCTTCAGCCAGTTGACTCCTCAATAATGACGCAGGCCTGGCAGTCCCCTCCTGCAGCAGCCTTAGGAACCTTGCAGGTCACACAAGTGGCTGGGCATTGGCACATGGACTCCGCTCTTATTCTTCTGGTTGCAGTCCATCACTGGGCTCTGGGAACTCGTCCAGCTCCGGTGCGACAGCCAATGCCTGTGGAGGCTGCCCACTCCTCCAGCCTCCAACACGCATCGGCTCCCCTGTCCTTCTCCTAGAGTCAGCATCTGCTGTGGCCAGACAGCGTGAGCTCGCCGCTGAGCCTCCTCTGTCATCGTGGTCTCCCTGCGCCGAAGACCCTGCCCTGCAGGAGGTCCTGGCATGGGCATCTACCTTCCCTATATAAAGCATGACCAGTCCTTACCAACCAGCTGCTCCCAAGTAGTACCTGAGGGACCCTGGTGGGCCTGGGTTTGCCCGCATGTCCAGGTAGGCCCCACCCCTTGCACTCGTTGCTCTGGATTTGGAGTGAGCGGTGAGAGAGAGGCAAGTCAGGACCAGGAGTGGAGAAAAGGAGGGAAAATAGCAAGAGTTCCCTGCCCCAGCTCTACCCGGAACAGCCGGGCCGTGGGTCTGCCCGGGACTGGCCCCTCCCTGGAACCAGGAGGAAAACCAAATGTCAGGCATGTGCAACAGGAATACCCAGCCGAAAAGCCTCCCAGGCCCCCAGCTCCCTGCTCCCCTCCTCCTCTCAGGAAAGGGGACAGCTTTATAATGCTTTGCAAAGTGGCAAACCCACGAGTTTCGCCCTGAGATCCCGCCTGCCCCACAGCAGTCGGCCTACCCTAACTTTTCATCGAGGGAAAGAACAACCTAGCGCTGCACCGGCCAGTAAGGGAGCCACGAGCCACGTCGGGTAACTGAGCATCTGAAACGTGGCTAGTCTGGTCTAAATGCTCTCTAGTAGAAGACACACAACTTATTATCAAGAATTCATACAAAATAAAAGGCTGAAATAGCTCATTTAATCATTTGTATATTAAAATGAAAATATTGGGGGTCTAAATAAAACTTTAAGGTATGACTGTCTCTTTTCACTTTTTAACATGGCTACTGGAAACTATAAAGTACATATGTGGCCAGTGCTATATTTCTAGTGAACAGCACTGCCCTAGAATTAGGGCTGGCCCCGCGTCATCTCCACAGTACAAGGCAAAGGGAAGCCTAGGCAGAGCAAGCCTGATTATCGTGTGAGCTGCTAGTGGAAAGATAACTTTGATTTTGTTTTTCTTGTCCCTTTCAGACACATCAGGAGGAGAGAGAGCAAGAGGCATCCATTACAAGGGTTTCAATACAGGAGGTGGGTGACAGCCTAAAGCCCCTCCGACCTGCAGCTCCCTCGGCCCCCCCAGAGCACGGGTGGTGTGTGGCGCCAGATCTGCCTGTTAGAAGCAGAGCCCTGACCGCATCCCAGTTATACTTCGGGACCCTCCATGGGCACCTGCAAGGAGACCCAATGCCTCACCATGGCGTTCAAGGCCCAGTACAGCCTGAGCCAAACTTGTCTTCCCAGCTTCATCTCACATGTTCCCTGCTCAAAACCCACACACCTCATGCAACAAATATTTATTGATTACCTCCTATGTGCCAGGCACAGGGCTGGCTGAGGCCACGATGGTTAGCAAAATAGGCATAAACCTAACCCCTTCGGGGACCACACATCTAGTGGAGGATGACAGGTAAGTAAATAAGGAAAATTACAGCACATGCAGCACAAGCAGTTGTGGGGAAAGCACAGGGATTATGGGTGCATTGAAGAGGCACCTAAACCAGACTTGAAATCAGAGAGGGCTTCCTGGAGAAGGTGACATCTCGTTAAAGAATTCATGTTGGCCAGACTGAAGCTGGGGTGGTCAATATCCCAGGCAGAGGGAATTCTGAGTTCAGAAACCAACCAGAAATGCAGAGCAGAGGGCAGAGCCTGCCGAACTGAATGACTTGCATTGTGCCTGGAGTGCAGGGACCAGTGGTTTGGCTGACCTGGTGTGTATTCCCCGGGGCTTGTGAGCCCTGTGAAAGAATGTGGCGTATATCTGGAAGTGTATTGTGCAAGTGTTTTAAGCAAGGGAGCTCCTGTTCCCCACAGGAAGTGCCTTTACCCCTCCTCCCTGTGTGCTCAAATCACGCTTCCCTCCTCAGGAGTCAGCCAGGTGGGGCAGGCCTGCCCCTCAGACACCCGAGGTTTTGAAGGAAAAGGAATCAGGGACTTTGGGGGTTTCAGCCAGGGCAAAGCGCCAAGGAATGGAGGGACACCGGGCAGGGTTTGGGGGTCAGCTGTGGAATTTGGGGCTGAGGCATGGTTTGGGTGTGGAGTTAGGATTCGGGGTCTGGCTTCTGGAACAGGAGGCAAGGTTGGGCCTGAGGATGAGAGACGGGTTCCAGAATTTGGAGCTGGGGTTACGTGAGGAATTTGAGCTGATGTTTCAAGCCAGGTTTGGGGTTAGGCTTTGGAACTGGGACAGGAATTGGATTTGGAAACGAGGCTGGAAGTTGAGATTGAGATTTGAGATTCAAGGTTGAGGCTAAGATGTGGGGTAGGGGCAGGGGTTGGAGCAAGGAGTTCTAGTTAGGGTTTGAAACTGCAGCTGGGGCAGGGGGTTAGGTTTCGAACTGTGGCCAGAGCTAGGATGGGTTGGAGCTGTGGTGGGTGGGTTGGGGCCCGAGCGCTGGGGCCCATAGACGACGTTTCTCCCGCAGCCCAGGTCTGGGAATTCTGTGCGAGCCCTAAGAGCAGCTGACAGAAGCCCCTCCCTTCCCAGGAATGCCTCTGCCCGCTGAAGGAGCAGCGCCACGTCAGCCAATCGGCTCAAGCCCTGCCTAGGAAACACCTGTTGTTCTCCCTCCCCCAGGTCTCACCGGGGTGCAGGTTAGGCAGGTGAAGCACCTCCCCGGAAACGGAGCTGGAGCACCCCACCTGCCCCGCTCAGATTGGATCCAGCCGTTCCAGGCTTCTCGTGAGTTCCCCTTAGCCCCTCTACCCCTCCGCCCCCACCTTCTCCCGCTGCCTCTCACCTGAGAACCTCCGCCTCACCCCCAGCCTGTACAAGCACTTTCAGACCAGTGGAGTCACCGCCCTGGGGAACGTGGGGCTGACTCCAGGGCCCCTTCCAGGGCCCCTTCTCCACCTCCCTTAGGGGCTTTTGCACCGGTCCCTCCTACCCGGCTGGCTGCCGGGCTGCCCCTGCTGAGGGGTTGTAGAGGACAGACACCTCATCAGGGGCGTAACCCATGTTCAACCACATAGTCACATTCCTGGAATGATCCAGGACCTGCATCCTATGTATTAGCAGGAGTCCTATCCTGAATTGCAGGGGATAACAAACAATTATATTCTTTAGTTCAAAAAGCATGCTTTGGGCATCTATACAGTTCCCAGAATTCCCACTGAAATTCTGAAATGGAGATATCAAATGACTAGCCCTCACCCCTCAAGATAAATGCTATTGTCCTTGAGAGCCTGGGGCCTGGGGCTCTACGAGGTGACTCATGGGGGCTTCTTTAACCCTCCCCCAAACCCCGTCTTCTGACTAATCCACCCCCAGCATTTATCGCATGAACCACAAACCTGCCTGTTGTAACTGGGGCTTCTTGAGGGCAGGGACCCTGGCTCCCTTATTTTGCCCAGTCCTGCTGACTGGCTTCTCAAGGACATGTTAAATAAGTAACCACTATGAGGTCCCTCATCCAAGTCCCCACGGGTGGTGAGAACTGCAACTGGGGTTCAGATCCAGAGCCCTCCTTTCCCTTGGCACAACTTTAGAAAAATCTTGGAGGAGGAAGGCATGGGGGCGGTGAGAGGCAGGAGAGCTGGGAGACAGGAAGACCGCGAGCAGGTGGGGTCGGCAGGGGGCAGAGTCGGGAAGCAGTGGGGATGAGGGTGGGGAATGGGATGAGAAACAATGAGAGGTGGCTCCCTGGGACTTGCAGGAGCGCCAGAGGAGGAGCAGGCTTGGGTAAGATAAGGAGCTTGGGTTGGACCTGTTGCATCAGAGGCGGCTATGGGTATGTGGGACATCAAGGTGGCAATTGGCTGTGGGTCTGTAGTTCAGGAGGGAGGTCTGGGTTTGAGGGGTGTGGGGCAGATTTGGGAATGAGCAGCCATGGCTGTGAGAGCGGACAGAACGTTAGGGCAAAGAGGGTGTCAGGGGTTAGATCCTAACCTGCAGAGGAGCCACAGTCCGAAGAGAGAGGAGTCAGGGTCAGGCGGCTGGTTCCAGAAGGGTTAAGTCTTAGCCCCCTCCCTCCCCGTCACCCTCCCCCCAGGAGCCAGCGGTGACAGCTGAGGCCATGTGAGTGGATCCTGAATGAGGCTTTATCTCTGGCTCTCCGTCATCGTCCACCGTCCACCGTGGCACCAGCTCCCGCGGCCACAGCCGGGATGGGACAGGCAACTGAGAGAGGCAGAGAGGTCAGGGGCTGGGTAAGGGGGCTCCTTGGAGGGGTGGGGTGCTTTACATGGGGGAACTCTCCTGGGGTCATTGAAGAGGCACTCCCAAGGGGCAGTGCAGGGAGGGGGCTTTCCTGGGAGACATTTCAGGGGACGCGGGAGGATTCCCAGGGCATCCCCACAGCTCCCAGGAGAGACCACGGGCAGCAGGCAGGCGAGCTGGAGAGGTGACAACTGCGATTCTCCCTCACAGATGATGGTGACTTTAGCCCGGACTGTGGAAGGAATAGGACTCTGGGCTTCCAGCTGCCAAGCAGGTGGTGGGGGCTCCAGGCCCTGATCCATACCCTTCAACCCCTCCCTGGTGCTGCCCTCAGCCCTGACTTGTCCCAGGCCCAGCCATGCCGGAAGGAGAGGCGCGAGCCCCGCCAGGCAGGGGGCTGCCGCCAGATGTGCTGGCGGAGCAGGTGGAGTTATGGTGGTCCCAGCAGCCGCGGCGCTCCGCGCTCTGCTTTGGCATGGCCGTGGGCCTTGTGACTGGCTGCGGGGCGGGCGGTGTGGCGCTGCTCGCCTCCACCAGCAGTCGCTCGGGTGAGTGGCGGCTGGCAGTGGGCACCGTGCTCTGCCTGCTGGCCCTGCTCGTTCTGGTTAAGCAGCTGATGAGTTCAGCCGTGCAGGACATGAACTGCATACGCCAGCCCCAACACGTGGCCCTGCTGCGCAGCGGTGGCGGTGCCGATGCCCTCATGGTGCTGTTCAGTGGCCTAGTGCTGCTGGTCACTGGCCTGACGCTGGCTGGGCTGGCCGCCGCCCCTTCCCCTGCCCGGCCACTGGCTGTCATGCTGTCCGTGGGCATCGCCCTGGCTGTCTCCGGCTCACTCTTGCTACTGGGCTTGCTGCTGTACCAGGTGGGCGTGAGTGGACACTGCCTCCCGAGCCGCGCAGCCGCCCCCTCCGCCCACAGTGACCACGGTAGCATCGGCAGCATCTTCAGCATCTCAGGACGGCTGTCTGCTGGCCAGCGTCATGAGACCACATCCAGCATTGCCAGCCTCATCTGACCAAGCCAGAGCCCTTTCCACGGCCTGGTGCAGCCTCCGCAGCTCTGTGCCAGGGCGTGAGTGAGTGTGTGTGTGCACAAGTCCCCGGGACTGCCCAGCCCCTCTGTGGGACTGCGTGATGTGTGACGAGACCCTGAATGTGCCCACACATCCACACCACGGCAAGGTGTCTTCTTGGAGCTGGGTGTTGTGCCCGTGGAACTGTCAAAGGCTGCCTGTTGGTATCTGGGGTCTCCAGGCAGAGAAGCGCCTGGGATCCCTGGACATCCTTGGCTCCTTATTCCCAACACCCCTCCCAGCCAAACCTGCCCTCTAACACTCGCCAGGGATTTCCCCAGGAGTGAGCGTTGTCCCTGCCCCAGAGCGTGCACCGGCGAGTCTCCATTGAAGAAGAGCACTGGTGACAAAGGGGCAAGAACTTGGGCTCCAGAATGGGACAGGACCGGATTGGACTCCCCCCTCTACCACTTCCCAGCTCGGGACCTTGGGCAAGTGACTGGACCTCTCTGAGCCTCAGTTTCTTGAGAGTCATGGTTGTGGCCATGGTAATCAGTTCTGAGGATCGAATGACATGTATGGAAGGACTGGGTACTTCACAGATGTGCAATAAAAGTGGTGGCTGCTATTATTGTTACTGCCCTCACATCCCCGTCTCACCTAGAGATGCTTCCTTCCCCTTCCCCACACTCATCCCTTCCAAAGTGAATGCTCCATGCCTATCTCGGGCTGACAAAAGGTGCCTTGAAGGTGTCCTCAGTGAGACCTGCGCTTTCTCCTCTTAGGTACTAAGAAGCTGGAGGAGAGATGGGGGTTGGGAGGTGCTCAGCTTCAGGAAGGTGATGGGTTTCTTGCCGCAGGGAGAGAAGGGAGCGCTGAGTCCTTGGTATTTCCTCATGTGCTGGCTCAAGATGAAGCCTTAAGTAGTGGGGTTCTCGGGAGGCTGAAGTCCCTACCCCACCTCTGCAACCAGAGCATCCTGGTCCTGGTCCATGCAGTCGCTGAGCTGGCTGGCCTGCCTCTGGGTTCCTAGGCATGGGAGCCGTATTTGCAACGCCCCTGGGTGGTGAGAGTCACTTCCTGCTTGAGGTCCACCCTGCAAGGGGCCTCCCCTTCTGTGGTGCAGGAACACTCCCTAGGTGGCCAGGATAAAGTTCCAGCCGAAGAGAGCTCAGCATTTTATCATCGCTTCCTGCTTCCCACGGTGCAGGTTACAGAAGCCCCTCAGAGGATAGAGAGGTAGGGACCAGGGGTGCCTCCTAAGAGGGGTTCGATGGAGAGCTACAAAGGCTCCAACAAGAGAACAAAGCTTTCAGCTGCCAAAATCAAGGAAGGCAGTGTCCGGGAGAGGACGCCAAGCTGATGGACTAGGATGAGGGTATTGCCGACCCAGGGAAGGAGCCACATGAGCAGAAATAGGGAATGGCCAGGAGCCCCAGGTCTGCCACGGGAACCTCAGACTCCTCCATCTCACCATTCACCCAGCATCCACGGCATAGCCCTCCGTGTGGTCCCAGACGGCACCCTCACTCTCTCCTCACCCCCTGCCCAGCACACAGGGCAACTCCTGCGGACTTCCTCCGTGGGCAGGTGTTCATGTGTTAATCATACTCCATGCTCACTGCCCAGCCGGCATCCTCTGCATCGTTGCCGTTTGTGCCACAGCCTCTCTGTTCTCTCTACTTTTGCTCTTCTCTCCTCTTAATCTACCTCCTGCTCCAACCCCAGCACATACACATGGAGCCCCAGAGACTGTGCAAAAACAAAAATGCAAATTTACCTTAAGATCCTTCCACGGGCCCCCCGCCTTGCAGGGTAATGTGCAGACTGTAACATAATTCAGCCTCCCACTCCCCTCCAGCCCCGCCACAAGCCAGAACGTTGACCTACTGCTGGACCTCACCATGTTCTCTTGCTTTTTCCAGCCTCCATATGTCCCTTCCTTGCCTTCATAATGTTCTTCAAGACCCAGTTCTCCAGGGAGCCATGTTCTCTGGGAGACTTCCCTGACCCGCTCCCCCTAAACTAGGGAGTTGCCCCTTTTCTAGCCTCAAACCCTCAATTGTGGACACAAGTCTGCACTTTTTTTTTCTCTGTGAGCCTGTCTCCTTAGTCAGGTGGTGAGCTCCTTCTGGCAGGGTTTGGGTCTTCTCACCTGTGTGTGCCCAACATGGATCCAACACATAGCAGGTGCTTTGTTGGATGGATGAAGGACTCCAGGTTAGCTGGATGGCAATGTGCATGTAAATATCAGGGAGAGATGCACCTGTAATTGGGAGGGGTAGGGAAGGTCACTGTCCACTGTGGGCCGGGGCTCTCCTGAGGCCCTACACCACCTGCCCCAGAAATTCTCACTCTTCCTGGGTCCCCAAGATGGACCTCTCATTATCGCCAACTCCTGGGCCATTACAGGACCACAGAGCACCTCTCCATCCTGTCATATGGGGAGAAATCATGTTTCTTTTCAGCTGTAACAGGGTTAGACTTTTCCATAATATTTTTTTAAGAAAGTAAAGGAAAACAGAAAACAGAGGCCTAGAAAATAGGGAGGGGGAAGGGTCACTTGACACAATGTCTGGACGAGCAGCTGCTCTAGCCAAGGCCCGTGTCAGGCTCTCCTGGAAAGCGTGCGGATGAAGAATGTGGCTCATGCCCCCAGAGGGCCCACCTCAAAGGGCAGTGGAGGCAGGCCTCTGCACAGCCACCTGGACCATGAGCTGGAGGGAAAGGGACGGGTCGAGCACAGGCAGGGCAGAAAAGCTACTGCTTCTTCAATCACTAAAGCCCACCCCACACCCTCCTGCCCCCAGTTTGTTTGCTCAAAGCATCTCACAAAACCCCATCTTGGTCCACATTGCAACCGGCTGTCCACAAGGCTCTCCGATATCTCTCTAAGGCTGCCCCCTCCTCTCTTACCTCCCCCTCCTCTCTTCCTCTCCCTCTGGCTAAGATTCTGCAAGCCATCATTTGACCCACTCCTTGACAGAGCCCTCAACTCCTTAGCCGCCTGCCTCTTTGGTCCCGCTCTCCCAGGAAAGCCCCTCCATGGACGAAGCCACACATCGGCCTTCACTGCACCTGCTGCCTCGCACTGAGCTGCCACTAGAGAAACCAGCACTGCCAGGCAGCCAGGCGTCACGGTGAATTCCTTATCACCAAGCTCAACCAGGTCTGCAAGGCAGCTCATCAGACACGCTGTTTCCTTGTTAGCGGCTCCCACAGGGACCCACAACTTCCCTCCACTCCCTTCACACCCCCGCATTGCCCCCAGCATGTGCGGGAGGCCTGAGCCCTCCACCTCATGAGAAAAGGAGAGTCCTACGGAGGGAGCCTCCACACAGCTCCCACCAAACCCCTCCTCCTTACTCCCTTCCGTGCAGTGACCCTGGCGGCCCAGCTGAGGAATTTGGACCTTGTCCTTGGGACACTGAGAAACACGGGAAGAGCTTAATCAGGGCAGTGAGGACTCTCACCAGAATTGGATTTGGGACTCACTGGCTGCAGTGTGGAGCCAGGATGAGCATTCCGAGAAAAAAATCAGAAGAAATGGCCAAACGGCCCCAGAAGTGATATCTCCATGGCCCTGAGGGATGAGAAGCAGCTGGGAGGCTGGGAAGAGTGCCCAGAAAGAAGGACTAGCAGAAGGGTCCAGGGACAAGAGAACTTGGCTCCTTCAAGGGACTATGAAGGGCGTGTGTGGCTGAAAGACAGTGCACTAGCTGGGAATAGGCCAGACCCGTAGACCCCGGGTTTCGGCAGCTCCCTAGCAGGTGGCGCAGTTTCTCGAGGCCCAGAGAAAGCCAGTAAAGGGCTGGAAGCAGAGGAATGGCCTGGTCATGACTGTATTTAAGACAATCATTTCACCTGCAGCACAGAGAATTAATTGGAAGGGGCCAAAATGGAAGCAGGGAACTCTGATTATTGATTAACGCCATGGTCCAGGTGCAAGATGCTAGAGACGTAGACAATGGGGTGGCTGTTGGGACAGAGTGAGGCAGAACAGACTCCACGGACGTTCAGAAGCTGGGTCCGGCAGGTCATCACGAGTGACTGGAGGAGCTTTTAAAGATGGGAGAGATGTGCTGGGTTAATGTCCAGAGAAAGAGGTTTAAGATACAAGGTAGATATAAAGGACCCATGGACAAAGCCACAGTGGGGAAGGATTGAGGGTGGGAGGTGGGAGTAGGTGGGGTAGGGGGAAGTGGTGGCAGGAAAATGGAGACAACTGTACTTGAACAATAAAAAAATAAATTAAAAATAAAAGATACACGGTAGAGAAGAAGCTGGTCTTAAAGTCCCTGAACAGGAGGTGGGGAGGATAGGTCCAGGACACAAAGTGGAGGTATGGGCTTATAAAGCCATTCTGATGAGAGAGAAGGAAGGAGGGACACAGGTTAAGTTTGTGGGTTTTGTAGCAGAAATTTGAGGGAGGCCCTGGGCATCACCTCTTCTGTCTGTGAGGCAGAGGCCTTTCGGAAGAGCTGCTATGGAGAATGGGAGAGGGATATGACCAAGGAAACAGCCAGATTGCTGGAAGCTTTGAGAGCCCAAGGGAGGCTGCAGGCCAGGCGTTAACAGACTCACCAGCCTGGGCCACGGTGGGGCTTTCCCGACAGCACACGGAGGCCAGGCATCAGGTCCTAGGTTGGAGGTCACCTGGAGTGTGCAATGCGCAGACAATGGGTGTGCAAATTGAGGACATTGCTGAGACAGGTTGACATAATAGACCCTGAAATCTATACTGGTTTGGGGTGAAGAGAAAAGACAAGAAGGGACCGAGGGAGACAGACTACAGTGGTGTGAAGCTAGAGGCTCCCATCGGGTGACAGGCAAGGCGGAGAGAGGGAGAGACCTGCCATATGTTCCTTCTGGGCTCAAGAGTCAAACTCTAGGTCCTCAGCCATGTCACCTGGATGTCTGGATACTGTAAAAGCATGTTCCAGAAACTTCCAAATCTGTTCCAGTCCAGGCGGAGTTCATATCATATCCAAGCACATGAGGTCTTGGGCCATCAGGGGTCACCCGGGCCTCCCGAAAGGGGCTTCTTCCAGGCCGTACGGGAGCGACACACAGTCCCATGCTCAGCCCTCCGCACGGGGTGCCTTCCTGACTGTTCCCCAGCACCTGTGAGACTCCCCTGGGCACAGGCATGGAAGTCAGCCCCCAGGGATGGGACATACCGCTTCTACCCTCACAGCCTGCCCCCCCCCCCAAGCCTGGAGCTTGCACCCAGAGACCTCCCAGCCCCCATTCACGGGGAGAGTGGGAGGGTGCCGGCCTGGCAGGACAGATGCAAGTACAACAAACAGGAGGCTCCTTCCCAGGGTCTATTTATTTTTTTATTATTATTATTTTTAATCTTCATCTGAGGCTCTATTTTTTGATTTTAGAGAAAGAGGAAGGGGGGCAGAGAGAGAGAGAGAGACAGCGATGTGAGACAGAAACACCGATTGGTTGTCTTGCACATGCACCCTGACCCACTGGGATCAAGCCCTTTAGGTGCACAGGACATTCCAACCAACTGAGCCACCCGACCAGGGCGCTCTGGGCCTGTTTGGTCGTTAAGTTGGGGTGAGATAATGGCACTATTGCTGAGTGAAGCAGCAGTTTACATTATCTTGTTTGAACCCCAACTTCTCAGACTGTAAAATGGGGGTGTGTGCCCAGCAGGACTGTTGTAAGAAGTGCTAGAACACCAGTGCTATGACGGTTGCTGTTACATTCCACGGCGTCAGTGATTCTAATTCAAGTCCTTTCTGAGCTCGGCTGAGTTCTGGGAAACAGAGAAGCTCAAACCCCCGGCCCAGAGCGAGTGAGGAGGGAGGAGGCTTGATAACTTCTTCCTTAGGATCAAGACTGGTCGCCTGCCATGGGGAGGCCCTGCTGATGGGAGCGACTGTCCTGGGGCTGCCCACGGGCAAGCAGCTAACACTTGCAGGTGCTGGCTGTTCCCCTTTACGTACATAGCTCATTTACTCTTTCTAACAACCATGTGATGCAAGTACTGTCATGATCCCCATTTTACTGAGAAGAAATTAGACCACTGAGGGCGTAGGTAACTTGCCCAAGGTCACACAGCCCACAGTAGCAGAGCTAGGATTTCAATCCAGGGATTCTCAGCTCTCAACTCACCTTGCTACCCTGCGGGGGCTTCTTAAACTTCCTGTCTATGGCTTGTGTGACCCCGTCTTTGGCCTCCACATAGGGACAAGGGATCTGGCTCTGCTTCAAGGACTGCAGGACAAGGCCGCCGGGAGCTGAGCTGTCCTCAGCATGCAGGTCAGGGTTGGGGTTCCCAGGACAGGGTAGGTAGTGGCAGCTGCTGGGGGAGGCAGGACAGGGTGCGAGGCCGGGGAAGAGGCAGGCTGGGGCAGGGGCCTAAGCCAGAGGGGACAGACCAGAGCCAGGTCTGGCTGAGTCCCAGGCCTCCCAGCAGGGTCAGCATCCCTGGGCCCCTGAACCTGTGGACCCAAAGAGGTCACGTGCCCTCTTTGCACACAGGGCCAGGCATGTGGAGCACAATGGCGACGATTCCTCAGAGCAGCCAGCAAGGCCTCTGAGGACAAGGTCCAAGGTACTCGTGACCCCAGGGTCCTGCTCAGCCAGGCTTGACGCCCACAGCAGGTTCTGAGAGGAAGCCCTCCTTAGCTGACTCTAGCTGGGTCGTGGGCTCAGGAAAAGCAACTGCTCATCTGGGATCAGGCCCATACCTTCTGCTGCATCCCTCAGACATTCTGACTCAGGTCCCAAGGAGTATGTGAAAATGGAGCCAGCTGAGCTGCCTTCTGGCCCAGGACAGCCCCTCCTGCTGGGTCTTGGGGAGCATTAAGCCAGGGGACAGGCCCGCTGCATTTGCAGCCGCTCTTCTCTCGGAGGCCAGGTCTCGGGCACAGGGTCTTCCCAGGCCTGCGATCTCAGGACTCTGGAAAAACTGCTGGAGCCAGGGCTGTGCGCTGGCCTCCCCTGCCCACTGGCTGCCTCTCCCCTGCAGACAAGCCCTTAGATGCCCGTGTTTCCCTACTCAGGCCTCAATGCCTCGTCAACTCCATTTCCATGACCTAAATCACTCCCAGGACCTGAGGGACCCTATCAAATCTGACTATTCCCAAACCCAGGTCACAGATGGGACTCCTCCCTATAAATCCCAGCTGCCCCTGAGCATCCTTCCCTGGAAATCCCACACCTGGCACTGAACCCTCATTCCCCAGAAACCTGCCCCTCCACAAGGCAGCCACGCAGCCACCCAGCCAGAAACCAGGGCAGCTTCACCGACTCCTTCCTGCCCCCCATATCGGCAGCCAAGAAGTGCTGTCAACCCTGCCTGCTTCAAATCTCTGGAATCTGTTCCTTGTGCCTACGGGAGCAGACACTCGTCACATCTTAGTCACCTCTCTCTCGGTCTCTGCCCTCCAACCCATCACTGCGTGGCATTCAGAACGAGTTTTCTGTCATGATTACATCACTCTCTTGCCCAAAAAGTTTACAGATGAGCCTCGGATGCTCTTGGGTTGAAGTGCAAGCTAACTTGGCACCAAGGCGCTAGCTGATCTGGCTGACTCCTCAGCTTCATCACTGCTCCGGGCACCCCTCAGGCCCTGTGCTCCGGCTCCAGCCCCCCTTGGTCTCCTGTCTTTTCCTCAAGCACCTCCACATTAGCTATTCCTCACTTCCCTTCTCTCCTCAAAGGCTAACACGGCGCCTGGGTGGACACAAGGTGGGGTGGCGGCCTGGTCATGACTCCCCCTTGCCTGGGAATGACCCAGAACAGGGGGGCTCCCAAGTCACGTATGTGCTCCCCGGGCCTGCTCCCACAAGTCACGGCTGCTTGGACCTGTGGTGGATACTGGACCCAAATGGAGCCAATCAGATTCTTGTGTCTGAGTACTTGAAACTCAGAATTGAGAGTTTAGGAGTCTCAGACATGGAGTCTTATCAATGCCCATAAATGACAGAGGGCTAGATGGACCATGTCTGACCTCCGGCTGCTGGGACCACCGGCTTCCTGCCCTCCCCAGCCAGCTGTCCTTTTAATTCTGTGCAGAAGCCAGGGTTCCTTTCCATTGCTTGCCAAAGAAGTGTGACCGACTCCCTTGCCCCGATATCCCCACCAGCAGCTACAACCCTATTCTCCTGTCAAGTTCTTGATCAAGTCGTCCACAGTCCACTCCACTCCCTCACCTCTCACCTTATTCTTGAGCCCACGGTAATCAAACAAATTTTACAAATATTTATTTAGCATCTACCTTGTGCATGAATTTGAGGACACAAATAAGACATAGCCTGTGGCCTCAGGGAGCTCACAGTCTAGCTTATAAGGACAGGCACAGTCAGGAGCAAGTGCAAATTGCAATAGTGATGAAAGTAAAACGTGGTGAGGAGGAGGAGGATGGTAGAGAAGCAGCTCACAGGGTTTCATGAGAGGGAGGGGCTCCCTGGAGCAGCATCTCCCAGCAACCAGACAAGGAACATTTTTATGCATAAGTTCCAGTTCCAGAAAAAAAAATTGAGCACATTTTAAATTCTTACTTGAAATGAAAATAGATTTAGTTATGCCTGTGAAAAACAGAATATATTATAACCACTTAGATTATCCACTTTATTGATAGGAAAAAATTTCAGTAAGAAACTTGGCACACTGATTTTCATCTGCTAAATGCTATCATCCGGTATATAATACTAAATAGTTAAGGAGGGAGAATAATAGGGAACGGCAAGAAAGGAAACCAAGAGGCTGACAGAGGCCTTATTTCCAGAGTTAGGCCCTTGGTAGGCTTTATCCTGAGAAGAGCAGGGAGCCACTGAGGGTCACTGAGCGAGAGAGGGTCATCGTCACTTTGGTGGCTAGTGTCAAAGGGGAAAAATTGCTCAAAGCCTGGTTAGCCCTTAAACCCTAGCCACCGCTGTCCCTGAGGTTCCATAGCCCCCTGGAGACTCGCTGTCCTTGAGCTGTCAGACATGACTGGGCAGGGGGCATCCAAAGAGAGGGGCTCAGAGGGAGAAGTGGCTCCTGCTACCCTCCGTCCCCAGCCCGCCGGCCCCAGGTTGAATGTAATTGTCCTCAATGAAGCCATCATCATCCTCATCTTCACCCATCTCCGGACAGATCCCCTTCCTTGTCTCTGGCAGCCGGCGGTGCTGGTAGCTGGTGAGGTATTTGTGGCAGAGGTGGCATTTGGCAACAAGTGCAATGAGGACAGAAAGGAACACGGCTCCGAGCACAACCCCCAACAGCACAGGCCATGCCCGGGCGGCGGAGCCTGGCCCAGGGGACGTGGCTGATGCTGTGGGGAGCTCCGAAGGCCCCACAGTGGCTGCAGAGAAAGGGACAGCATGACGAATGGGGCGTCAGGAGGGCTCCCTGGGGAAACGGGGGGGGGGGGGGGGGGGGGGCCGGGTCCTTCCCCCAGCCCCAGCATCTAACCAGCCCCTCTTCAGTTCCCTCCCACTGCTACTTACTTTGATTTGTCTCACTCATGGAGTGGCTGGAAGACACCCGTGAGCCTCGGCCGCGATCAGAAAAGCCCTGGCTCCAAGGAGATCCCCAGGCGCCAGGCAGCCCTGGGATGCAGATCCTGGAACATAAGCACATGTGTGGCTGTCGAGGGGAGGGGGGCACGGAGCACGCATTTCAGGCCACACTCACAGCCTCGTTAGGGTGCCGCACAGACTCAGGAGACTGGACAACTAACCAGCACCAGTTGTTCACAGAAGAGAAACAGGCTGAGAAATTGGCTATGTGTAAGGGAATATGGTAGGGGCCAGCTCTGGAAGTAGCTAGAAAACATAAATCAATGCTGGATCTTATACTGAGCTCACCTTTATGATTCAGGCACCCGGCATCAGGCTTACGGAAATCTGTAATTTGGGGTGTAAACATTATCCCCTGTCTATCGTTAAGGACTCTGAGGCCCAGAAGGATGAACTAGCTCAGCCAAAGTTCCAAGACTTGAACCCAGGTTTCTGATACTGGGGCCCAGAGCCCAGTTTGCCGCATTGCGCGGTAAGCTGAGGATGGGAGGTGGGGCAGAGGCAGTCCTGGCTCCCCGAGGTTGGCAATAGCAATTGCTTAGAACTAACAAGCCAAAGTGGAAACCACACACAGAAGACCATGCCAGTCCCCACCCAGGGCAGACCTGGCCCCTCTTTGCCTGAGTCAGGAGCCCCTGTTAACCCCCCTCTGCCCTCAGCCCTTCAGGCACATTGCCGTCCATTCACCTGTGAGCTCCGAGGGCTATATTCAGGGAGCAGCCAAGTACAGATCACCTGAATCAGGAAATCATCTGCATGGGAATCACTAGGGCTGGAGAAGATCTAGGGAAGGGGCCCCTGAATTAAGGGAGGATCTGGAGGAAGATCATCTAGGCTCAGGAATATCTGGGGGAGGAGCACCTGAATCAGAGGAGTGGAGGTAAGGAGCAACACCTGAATCTGGGGAGTATGTAGAGGAAGAGCACCCAGGTGAGGGAAGTACCTGTTGGAGGACCAGCTAGGGTTAGAGATTATCTGCAGGTGGAGTACCTAAATCAGAGGAGTACCTGGGGAGGAGTATCCAGGGTAAGAAGGGACCTAGGAGAGAAGCACCTAGTTTAGGGGAGTACTCCACCATAGTCTTTTACATTGATACCTTAACGAGACCTCCCTTCCTAACCGCCAACTTGTCACCAAGTCCATCTGTTCTTCCTCTAAATATCTCTGGAATGACTATTCCCCTCCTCTGCACCCACTGCCACTTCCCCAGTCCAAGCCACCTTCATCTTGTACCTCAACTCTTACAATAATCTCCCAACTCATCTCTCCCCATCTCTAGTCCATTCCCCAGAGCGATGGGCCTCAAGCCCAAATCTGACTCCATCACTCCCATTTAAAATCCTTCACAAGCTCCCCATACCTAGTGCTGCATGCAAATTTCTCTGCCTCACAATCCAGCACGAGGCCCTCAGGCCAAACGCTTCTCCCTCTTCTCCACAGTTCCTTCCCCTGCACCCCCCGCCACTTCACCCACCCTGTTTCCCAGCACCCCCACCTCGGTCTTTTGAGTCCGCTGTCCCTCAAGGCCAAATCAGACAAGGTCAGCCTGTGAGGTTGCCCCAGGACCCTCTGGATGACCCCCTTCCCTGGCAGGACGGGCAGCTCCCTGGGGGCAAAGACTGCCGCTGCCTAACCTGTTCTCTGGGACAGCCAGAGGGCTTGCTTGGCTGCACAGAGCAAGTCTGTGAGCTGGGGCGGGGGGCGGCGGGGTCGGGGGAGCTGAGGGTGAATATGGGGGTGGGGGTGGGGCGGGGGAAGGGGACAGTAGAAAGGAGAGGTAAATTAATCAGTCAGTCATTAGCCATTCAGTCATTCAGTAGGTGCCTACTGTGGGCCCACGGGTGTGCACTGAGTCCCCCCAGATAAGATCCTGTTAAACTGAAACGAACTGAATTCATTTTGACCTTTCTTTTTCTCCTTTTCCTTTCCTTGCTGCCGGGTCCCTGTGAATTCTTCCCAAGGACACAGACCCACACCTACATACTGTCACCCCACCCCTTCAGGTCATACCCCTTCCACCAACAAACACCCCCTCCGATCTTCACAGTCCTACACATCCACTCTAATTTGTAGCGTTTTTCCTGCTCCCGAGAGCTCTCAGGGATTTGTGAGTTCCCCCTCCCAGCCCCCCAAATCTTTCCCTCTGCTCCCCACCTGTAGAAACTGTGTACAAGCCAGTGGAGGAAGCTTCCGGCCGGATCAGGCAGACAGTGGGCGGGCCAGAACTGCCGCTTGACTCACCTGGGGACGCAACGGGTGGGGCCGGAGCTGCAGAGGGAGGGCTGGGCAGCAGGCAACGCCCCCAACGGGGAGGACTAACCACGTCCTCCCAAGCTTTTGCGGAGACCCTATTGGTGCAGGCCTCACCCCCGCCCCCAAGGCTGGGAGGAGAGGGGCGGGCTAGTGCGGTTGGGATCCTGAGAGGGAGGGGCTGGTCCTGCGGTCCTAGAGGGGGCGGACACCTCAGCAGGCTGCCGCTCAGGCTGGCGGCCTGGAATAGCAATGAATTTCCGGTGACAGGTGCAAAGTCCAGAGTTGAAGAGGGAGCTTTACAGGCCTGTGAAGCAGTGGGCCGTAACCGGGAGGCTGAGGGCATGGGCATTCTTCCCAGGCAAAGCCAGAGGGACCAAGGACACTTAAGTTGCCTGGAAATGTGTTTGTGTGTGTAGGGAGGACGGGGAGGTCAATGGGGAGGGAGTGTGAGTTCAGAGACCCTTTGGGCAGCATATATGTGCCTTTGGGGGGTGATGATGTGTATGCGTGTTTACCTGGATAGAGAGCGCAAGCCTTCATCTGGATCCCAAGGATCCTGGGACCCCACAAAGAAGGGCTCTGAGTCTCCCTTTTATACCAGTCCTTGTCCTTGAAGACCCAATCTAGGAGTCACTTTCCCTAAGCCCTCGGTCTACCCTGGCCAGCCCCGCCTCCTCCACGCCTGGCCCACGCTTTATCACAGCGTTTCTCTACTTCTCTTGTACTGATTTCTCCCTGTGCTGCCTCCCGGGGTGGAGCGCAGTTCTGACAGCCTCTGGTTGGCCGGCACTGGGCACAGGGCTGGCTCCCGGTGGATATCTACAGGAGGAAGGATTGTGCGAGCTAAGCCAAACAGGCGCAGGAATTCACGGGGACCCTCAGGCCACAACCGAACAAGGACTGTGCCCAGAGGGTGCAAGGGGGCAAGACAGAACTAAGGCTGCCAAGTGGAGGACCTTGCAGGTCCCTGGATATCTTAACATCGAATTTGAACTCTTACTACCAGGGGCTCCTTTCTACTTCTCCCGCCTCGTCTGGTGCCTACCTTCACACTCTCTCCTCCAGCCACACCAGCCTGTCCTCTACTCCTGGAACCCACCATGTTCTCATCTCCCAGGCTCGATATGCCGTTTTCCTGGAACCCCTGATTCCCCCAGCCCTCACCTCCAGCTCCTCCCCCGACTTGTCGATCACCCTCCACCTGACTGACTTTCCTCCCAGGCCTACTGAGCACTCAGACCCTGGTTTAGGTGCCTCCTTATATAGGTGGCCTTCCCTAACTAACTCTTCTTAGGCTGGGTCTGTCCTCCCATCCCCAGTGCCCCCGAAGACCCTGGCACTGTCCCCCCTGCCCTGACCATGTGGCAGTGCAATTTTCTCTTTATTGGGCAGGGCTTCTTATGAACCTGGAGACTCTAGGGGGAGGGTCTGTGTCTGTTTTGTTCCCCTTCAAATCCCCAATATCTAAAACAGCAATAATAAATACTTACAAAATAAATGATTGAGAGGAAAGTGAATACCATCTGTGAGATGGGACAGTGAGAAATCAGGAAGTTTTGGGGTTTGGCTTTGATTTTGAAGCAAGGAAACCATAGAATTCAAAAGACATTCACTGAACACCTACCTACCATGTCCTAGGCACTGTGCTGTTTTTTTGTTGTTTTGTTGTGTTTTTTTTAATTGAGGTATTCATATAACATAACCTAATTCACATCATAGAAAAATCACCACCTTAGCCATTTTTAGTGCATAATTTAGTGGCATTTAGCACATTCAAAAAATTGTACAACCATCACCAAAATATTTTCATCACATCAAAACGATACCCGCTGCATGGGAGCAGTCGCTCCTCATTTTCCCCTCCCCTCCCCCCAGGCTCCAGCCACCACAGATTTGATTGCTGCCGCTATGGACTTACCTATGCTGGATATTTCATACAAATGCAATCATATCCGTGCCAGCTTTTTAGTGAACTATTTCATTTAACCCTCATAATGGCACTATTAGGTATTAATTAGCCCCTTAACAGATGAAGAAAATAAGGTCATAGAAGGGAATTGGCATGAAGTCTCCCCGAGGAAAATAAAGGTCTGCGCACGCATCAGCCAGCCCTTTTCTTCAATGACTATTTATTGACCACCCATCACAGAGCCGCAGCTACCCGTGGGCATGCATTGCAAAAGAGCAGGGGACAAGCTGTTGGGGACGGTGGCTGTCCCCTGGGCATGGAGAGCAGAGAGCCAGCTGGGTATCAGCACCCACTGGCCCCTCAGCCTGGAGCTCCGGTGAGGTGAACAACCTCTATAACCTTCCGTGGCAACCAGGTGGCAGGCATTGTGCCAGCTGCTGGGGACAGCGCTCCTGCCACCATACAGCTTCCACTCTGGTGGGGAAGACAGACAATACACACATAAAGAAAAAGAAAAGATTATTTGCGATAACGATGAGTGCTACAAAGAAAATAAAATGGCTTCACGTGCGTGATAGGGAGGTGTGGAGGAACTGCTACTTGACATTTAGTCCGAAAAAGAGGGAACTCGCTGAAGAGGGGATGCTTGAGCCGAGGTCTGAATAACAGTGAGATAGCAGCCATACTCTTCTGGGGGAAGAGTATTCCAGAAAGTGGAAACAGCCAGGACAAGGACTGAGAGGCAAGAACATGGCTGGCTGGGAGGCCAGCTGGACGGAGCACGGTAAATGGGGGACAAGGGAGGAGCTGCACTGGGAACCTGTCAGCTCCCAGGGGGCCTCATCAGGTCCTTCCGGTCATGAGATGGGAAGCCACTGATGATCCAAGCAGAGGACAGAGGGACTGTCCTTCTTTGGCTTCTCACGAAGAATGGATGAGAGGAGGCCAGAGCGACCGTCCAGGCGAGAGGGAACGTGGCCTCAGGGTGCTCCGGTGGACGTGGAGAGGAGGGCTCAGGTTCCAGAAATATTTTGAAAATATCTACATGAAAAGTCTACATGATTAGCTGACTGGAGGTGGAATTTGAGAAAAAGAAAAGGATGAAGAATAACTCCAAAGTTTTGACTTGTTTAGGCTAGTAAGATAAAGTTGTCAGTTACTTGAGTGTCAGGGTAGGGGGAAGAGAAGAAGCAGGAAAGGAGACAGAGGCATGGCCAGCAGCGCGGTGAGAGGCAGGAGGGCGAGCGAGGCATCTGGAGGCCGGAGAAGAAAGTACAGGGTCCGGCAGGAGTAACGCCTGCTCTGGTGCGGTTGGTAGCGTACTAGTATGAGTGTAATAATCTATAGTTTTAATTGGAACATTTCACCTAAAATGTCATAGGGCATACTTGAGTGTGCTATTGTTATGTTACAGAATTACACACTTATGATTTTGTAATAAAAAGGGGGTGTAATTTGTGCCCGACCCTGTGTTTCAAGGGCAGGGGCTTAGCTATGCCAAATGCTGGCAGCAGGGCAGCTGAGATATGGACCGATCATACACTTTGAAACTGGCCATGTGGAGGTCAGTGGTGATCTTGGCAAGAGCAGTTTCGCTGGTTTTGGGGACGAATGCCTGACCGGAGCAACACTCCAGGGTTGGGGAGCAGAAGCGGCGACGGCCACCTCTTCAAGGAATTTTGCTCTAAAAGGAGCAGAGAAGTAGTGCGGACACTGGAGGCAGGGGGCCAGTCACGGAGGGCTTTCTTTTTAAGACTAGGAGCTGTTCTTAACAGCTGGGCAGAACAACCCAGGAGAGAGAGGAAATCGATGACACAGAAGGAAGAGGGAAGGGACAAGGGGGTGTGAAGCCCTGAAGGCATCAAGGGGTGTGGAGTCAAGGGCTCTGGTGCAGGGTTGGCCAGGGGGTGGGGCAGGAGAGTCCCTCTAAGGAAAGCGGAGCACACAGGTGAGCCGATGGGCGCCTTAGGGAGTTTTCTTCTCATGGCTCCTGTTTTTCCCCCGAGAAAGAGGAAACAAGGTCGTCAGCTCAGAGTGGAGTGGGGAGGGGGTTCGGCTGTTGGTCAAGAGAAGGTGTGAATTGGTCATCATTGCCCGCCCGCGTGCAAGAAGCTCACAAAGTAGCAGGAATCTGAGGTCCTTTGGGGTGGGGTGGTTATGTGTCTGTTTTCTAGCCACTCCAAGTGTAGGTGGGGAGAAGATGGAGAGAGGGATTTAACCAGGATGGGGATTTGCTGGGCAAACTGGTAAAGCCAAGGAGGGGCCAGGGAGCCAGATCTGTGGGCAAGGAAGTGGTTGTCATGATAGCCTGAGGAATCTGGGCCCAGTAAATAGGGAAGCGAGGACGGAGTGGGGAGGCGTGAGGAGCCCCGAAAAAGTGGTAGGATCGATGGAGGATTTTAGGAGCAATTGCTGGCAAACTACAGAGAGTTAAGTTGAAAAATATTAAATGTTGGGCAGATGGCGACACACAGAGATGGAGGTTACCAGGGGATGCAATCCTGGATAGAGACAAGCCCAAGGACAGGAACCAAGGAGTGGTTCTGAGGCAGGGCCTACAGGCCAGTGGGGGTTTTACTATTATCTGAAGCATGTAATGAATTCTACCTTCTGCATCAGAGGTCTAATGATAACATGCTAATAGCGCTACTAATAAGTGGCAGAGCCAGGATTCAAACCCAGGTCTTCTGACTCTCAGTCCAGCGCCTTTCCAGCATATCCCGACGACATCACTCTGCTCTGTTAAACTAAAACGTTAATTTCCACCACTGAAGAGTCTTTTTGTAAGTAAGGTTTTCCTGAGCCAAAGTGGCTAGCCCAAAGAATGACCTTGGGACATGGAGTCTAAACAGCCAACAGCACAGCTGCATAGAAAAGGCCACAGGCCAATGTCCCAGTTGTGCAAGCCTTTTGTACATCACGTAGGGGGAGAGGAGCTATAGGTGAAGGGGAGGGGAAAGGTAGAGAGGGTCAGCTCTGGGGTAGCTGAGTCCACATACTGGAATGTCGTACAGATTGGCTGGGGGCAGCAGCTGGGAGAGCCCTCCT